TAATATTTCATCCTTAACTTCCGAGGATGTATGTGGGGTTGTTGCCGTGGTGTCAGTCTGACAACCGCACTCCACAGATATGACAGAAGTGGTATAGTCAGTTAGGACATCAGCGACAATGCGGTCCCAAGGTATGAGTGGCTCCGTTCCAGTTTCCACAGTCAACTGAATACCGTGCTGACCACGAAGTGCCAAAAGCTCAAGCTCGTTGGCTTTCAGTGAGTCTTGCAGACACAGGTTCCAGTTGAACAATTGCTTGCGTTCCCCATATAATTCTGAAGCCTGCTGCTTTAACTGATCATATTGGTGCTGTAGTTCTTCATACTTCTGAATTTCCTCTTTAGGGACAGCTCCCACGGAGAGTATAAGATCGGTCACTTTTTCGTTTGATAAGGTAAGTTCCAACATGTGTTTAGGAGGCACAGGTGCGCGATAAATTCGATTGTCTAATGAAAAATCTGCCATTTCGCCAGAAAGCTCGCACTGCTCTCGTTTAACAGGGTCCATAGGAAGCCAATTCAAGTGTTCAGACGCCGAAGCCGTATCAGGTAAGTTAGATGAGGTAGGTACAAATAATGGAACCTCATCCTGTGAACCATGCGACGGCGAATAGTTAGGAGCAACTTCTGACACCAACTTGGTGACTTCAGAACTGAATCGATTGAGAATCGGGTGTCGGGTAGGCGGTTTGCACATGGCTTGTATGGTACGCTTCAGGGATTCGTTCTCATCTGTAACAGACATATTATGTCGCTTTAGGTTTCCTATTTCGGCCATTAGTGAACTCACACGCGTCAGACACAGATCGGATAACCGAGACAGGCATGAATGCAAATGTGAACACAATCCAGACAGGAACTCAAGAATACGAGCACCATCAAGATTTTCTGAAAACGAGCAATCTTGAAGACCAGGATCCAATAAATGAGTCGAAATGGAAAGCAAGTCAGGAGATCCATCTGCCTCTAAACAACGCAAAGCAATGTCACAAAATTCCAAACATTGTGACAGTGAACGAATACAACATGAAACCAGAGATTCCGAAAACTCAAAAGCTGCGGATGTCGATCTAGAAACCGTATCAGGCGAAACTCGAGTAGGGGGAACACCAGAACAATCAACGCCGGATTCAAACGATACACTTGAAAGGACGTCAGGTTTAGCATCACAAGAACGAAGCACAGAAATATCATTCAACAGACCTCGTGCAACACGCAACTCATGCTCCAGCTCACAAACACGAGCTGTGCTGGACGATGCGGAAACCAGCAAATCATTCACATTCTGCGCAAACAATGAAAACTCTGACAAGTACTCAGACCGCCATGCATCATGTGTCGAACGAAGCGCGCACAACTGTTCACGCACAACCAACAGAGCCCGCCTCATCTTCCCCAAATCAACACCAACCTCATTCACACTGGCGCCCTGCGAAGACACACGCGAACACAACAATCCACACTCCGTCTCAGCAACACCCAACCGACTAGTCAACGTAGACAATTCACGAGACTGTCGCGCAAACGCCTCCCGCAGCTGCGCACAATGCGATTCCGATTCCGACAAACTATCACGCAACCCACGTGCGCATTCCTCACTGGCAACCAAATCAGCCGCCACCGTCATCTCGCACAACTCAACACGATCGACCTGGGACAACGCAGCTCCCAAATCTGCTTCCAGAGAATCACGATCCACCGACGCAACAGCACAACTCGAACGCAGAGATACAACCTCATCCAACAGACCACGCAAGTCACTCACAGCACCGCACAAATCAACGCGCATACGATCCAACAAATCACCACGTTCCGAAAGACAATCACGAAGCAAGGAAACCTCCACCTCTGCTGACGAAAGACGCGATTGCAAATCCGACAATTCTGATTCCGGAACCTTCTCCACACCCCCACACACAACATCCGAGCAAGCCACTATTGGCTCAGTCACCACACTGGGCACTCCGCACACATACGAGTTCACCACATCCACCATCGAACTCGGACAAACGGACGATAACTGAGATTCCAACTGGCATTTCTCCTTCTCCAGAACATCGATCCTGCACAACGCATCCGCCAATCGGCTCTCCAAATCCGACGATTCCACAAATATACCCTTGCTTACAACAGCACCCATCACATCCGAATCGACCACATCGAATACACCAGCAGACACCCCACAACCAACCGGTGCTGCACGTTCACCAACAATGTCAACGTCAACCGAACGCTGTTCCTGTTCGCTACGGATTGGCGTTTGCTGACATACATAGGCTCCAGCGATTGGTATGTGTGCTTTTCCTCCAGGGGTGTTCGCACGATGATTTGCTCCCTGATGTGAGTGGTCACCTACTGGGTATAGTGGTTGTTCTTCAAAATGAGTTTTGGCTATCATCGATTTTTCCAGTGACTTCGTTTTGACTCTTACCTCCTGGTGTATTTGGGGTCTGCTAAATTTCGACGGCGGTTCAGTAGCCATATTTAGCGAATCGTGGGTTAGGTATCTGTGTTTCAATCCTGTATCCTCAGAAAGGCAGTCAGCTACATAGTTCGAGTGGTGTGCCTCATGATCACCTATTGAAACGTAATCAGTGTTTTCCATATTTTCCCTTCCACTAAACTCCCCGTAAACTTGTCTCATTGTGTATAGCAGTGTCGTCAACCTATTACGTTCTGATTCAGCAGTGAGGCAGCGGTGTGACAGCTCTTTTATTTCTTCCAAAACCGAACGCATTGTTGTGTTCTGTTGGATCGTTTCAATGTCAGGCCCCAACATACCTGGCATGTTAGGCGCGAAAAGCAAATCTTCAATTTTGGAATGTGGTTCGCCTGCATTAACTTGCAAGGAGTTACAGTGTTTTTGAGAACTATTTTGTCTGTAGGAAGTGTGCTGTTCGGTTTCCGTTGATTTTTTCAGATGTAGTTTATCAGCGCATGTTGCGGCTCGGCGTTCAAGTTGTGAAAGCCTCTGTTCCAGGTTGCGTATCGAAGCTATTGGTCTCTCGAAAGCTTTTTGACATATTACGTTTACTCTATTTAGGATTATGTTCAACAATTCTTTAGGGTTAGTGAGCTCAGGTTTGCTTCTCGTAAGGTTTTCGCTGGTCTCTTCGAATGTATCTCGGAAAGCCGAGAGCGGTGAAGTAACACAGCCTGGATCAACAGTAGTCATAGGCTTCGGGATAGTTTGTTGAGTGACGACCGTCAGAGGATCAAACTGGAAGCCTAATTCATCAAGTTCTTGTTGCAGAGATGGAATGAAATGCTCCGAAATAGGCTGTAACTTGCCATCATCGTTAAAAATACTTGAAAAACTCGTATCAGTTTCTTCGTAACATGGCGAAATATGATAAGTTGGGCTGGAGTCAACCGACGATAAACAACGTGAAATGATGGATTCTAATTGTGCACGCAAGGACGAAAATAAGCTGGGATGGATGGATTCAGAATTTGGTGATTTTACCAAGTACTGACATACCATTCGTAACTCGCTAACTACGCCGGCCAGTATATTTTCAAATCTAGTGCATTGCATTTGTTTACAAGAAAGATCAGCATTCACTACATCGAATTTCTCCGAAGCAGTGGTGAGTTCAAAGTGTAGCCCCGCAATCGTCGCATCTTTTTCCCTTCCCTCTGACTGTAAGCAGGATATTGTCATCTCGAGCTCCCCCCGCAAGGTTGAAGCATCAGTAAGCTCCTGATCACGATACGATATTACACCCTTTAAAGATCGCACCTCTTTGTCTAATGAAATAAGCCTATCTTTTAAGCTAACAATCTCTAGCTCAGTTTTCATCAAACAATCATGGGTTGATTCAGCATCGACAATCGCCGCCCTTTGTCTCTGGACAGCATCATTTGCCATATCTTGTAGAGATAAATTTTCAGCTCGAAGTGAGTCAAACTCATCTGACTTTTCGAGGAACATGTTCAAACTGGTTTCTAGTTCGGCACGGTGAGCTCGCAGTTCATCGAGAGCGTCCGCAAGTTCCAGATCTTTTTCCCTCATCTGCTTCTCCAAATCCGCGATTGTCAGTTGAAGTTGATCTTTGTCCTCTTCACTACTGCGCAAACACGCTTCCAGCTCATTCACACGCTTGTGCGTCACGCTAAGCAACTTACACAAATCAAGTGACTCCCGTTCTTGTGGAAGGAAGTTGACTGAATCCATACAAAGTGGACCAACCAGGGGGACAACAAGATGCCCGAGTGCGGAAGAGTCCCCAGTTGAAACCACTGGTACACCACCGACGGTGTATCCAAACAACTCATCATTACCAGAGGGCACAAAACCATCCACATCACAAGAGGTGAGGTTGGAACACTCCACAAGACCAGAAGAAAGAGAGGATACTGCCTCCGGCGCACACAGTGCAACCGCGGGGTCAGGAAAAACAAACAGGTCCTGGATTTCGAGAGCACGGAAACAGTCCGGATGAAGATCAGCAATGCGGGCCAACGGCCGCTCGAGTTCGAAAAACGCCGAAGAACTACGAAGAGAATCTAACACATTGTTACGACACCATACAATGAAATCGACAATCCGAGGAACGAGGGCCTTATGAACGTCCAAATAATCCACAGCACAAACCAGGTTAAGATTGGTCCGCTGCAACACAACACGAAGCCGATCAACCTCACCTAAACAATCGCATACAGAATCCGAAATCACAGAAGAATACGAGAGAGCACCAGCAAAGGGACGCTTCAAATGACACGAAGGCCTCGATTGTCCAACGAAACCACAACCACCAAATGAACCAGAATACGCGAGAACATCAGACACGGAAGGAATCAATTTACCAAACAAAATACCGGAATTCAAAGTCGACGAACACCTGGCACACTGATTTTCACGCTCAAACCCCACCAACATATCCGGCTCAACGCCAAGACCGACGGGAGAGACCGACTCCAACAA